CAGGCTAGAAACCGGGAGATCATGAGTTCTAGTCCCACCTTCAGCACAGCCAGCTGGGTGACCTTGGGCCAGTCACTCTCTCTCAGCCCTAGGAAGCAGGCAAGGGCAAACCACTTCCGAAATCTTTCCAAGAAAATTGCAGTGACTTGTCCAGGCAGTCACCAGGAGCCAACACTGACTCAAAAATTTTACATATACATACATACCTACATATATGAATCTGACTCAAAAATGAGAGGAAGTAGATGAATTTGTTTACTAAAGATAACAAATGGGTAAAGAAATTTTAAGATGTACAAATGGTGGTAGAAAAGTTGTGAGTCTAAGGTGGAATGAGGAATGACTATTCAGGGGAAATAATGTTTATCAAAAACAAAAATAGCTTTTTTTTAAGTGTGTGCTTCTATTCATTTTGTTTAATGGAAGTGAGAATTGGGTATGTCAGGAGAAATGTAAGTTGAATGCATTGAAAAGCTATGTGTGTGATAGAAGAAGAGATAGAGTCAAGAATGAACGAGCGATAAATGAATGTGGCCTGAATATAGAAGTGGACCAGTATGAAAGAAGTATGTTGAGGTTGTTTGGTCATATAGAGAGAATGAAAGAGGATCAGATTGCAAGGCAAATATATAAAGGAAGAGCGAATAGGTCAAGAGGAATGGGAAGATTGAGAAAGTCATGATTGGATGGAGCTTTAGAGATCCTCAAGAAAAGAAAAGTGAGATGCTACAAAAAACAAGAAGCAGTGTGTGAAGCAGTGTATGGAGAGGGAAAGGGAAAGGAAGCTTCATAGATCACTGCACTGAACTGTGAAAGGAAGGCTCTAGGATAACTTCTATAGGCCAGGCATCTTTTAATTCTAAGCTCTAGAACATCTATACCTTGTATTAGCTGAGACTACTTCTCTCTCATTGTGGGAACAAGAAAGCTTCTGTGCTTATGCAGAGTATCTTTGAGGAATTCTGGATCAGAATATGCCAGGGATTCCCTCAAGCTTTGGCTCTACCATTCTAATACTAAGCAGTACCTTGGGGACTGAACCAAGAAATTAATTCTTTCTCTAGCGTCTACTCCTTCCTTGCCTGCTGTCTTTGTGCGAATTTCATTTCTTAGGAGGAAATACACGCTAAGTGCTTTGTGGCAGATGTTCCCTTCTTCCACCTCTGCACTGTATCTCATTGTCTCACAGCACATCTTCCTGCACCCCTTTGCACAAAGGCTGTCATGAGAAATAGGTGGAAAGCAATCCATCTGCTTCAGACTCTGGCTGTGAAGTTGCTGAATGTGTCTCAGTGCTGACATTCTCCCTCTTCACCTGCTTTTGTGCTGGGAGAGGCATTGTGCCAAAGATGGATGTGTAAAAGAATTAGTGAAGGGATCAGCAAATGGAAATATTTCTACACAGATACCTCTAAAATAGCTGCTGAGAGACCCTGTGCTGACAGCAGCAGAAGCACAGAATTCCATTCTCTCTGTAGCATCCACAGTAGATACATACACAATTATGAAACTGAATAACATAATTCAGATATTCATGCATAAAACATTCTTAACATTATAGTTTGCATCATAACACAGATATATAATAGACAAGTGCACATACTAACCAGATAATATGTAATCATTTTAGTCAGTAGCAGACAGTTTTAAACAAATTTATATCCATTTTAAACAATGAACTAATATTAGGGATATATCAGAGTAATGCATTTCTGAAAACCTCCTGATATTACTTTCTGCTTCCTAAATCCATGAAGGTAATAAATGTTGCTGTTGCAGCCAAATCTTGTGAAGCAATTCAGTGATTGTTAAAAAAGATGAATTTTTAAGATCTTGGGGGGTCAGAACCGTGTTTTGGAAATTTTGCAGTCCTCATAGTTGGGCACATTCTTGCATATGATTTCACTGTATTTCGTTTTCCATTTAAACACAGATAGAATACATTTTGAAAACATTATTGGGTGTTGGCTGAATAGTGGAGTGCCTTCCCTCTCCTGTAATTTCTCACCCCCTTAATTGGATGAAAACTATTTGGAAACCCCTTTCTTGTTTAAGACATTTCCCCCACAAAGCTTTTTGCTTTGGGTAAAAAAGTCATAGCATATGGGAACTGGAAAGTAAACTATCATATTATGCTACCTGCAATGTATTCATGGGCATTTAAACTTGTGTACCTTTCACCTCCATGTACCTGTGAAGAACGTACGTGTGTATGTATGTATGTATGTATGTATGTATGTATGTATGTTTGTGTGTGTACACACACACACACAAATCATACCTTACCTATTGATATGAAACCCCAGAACATTCTTTTCATCCATTATTCTCTTATGGCCATAGCTCACTGCTACAGTACATGCTTTATATGCAGGAAGCCCCGAGTTTAATCTTGGACATCTTTAGAGAGGACAAGAAAGGCCTGGTGTGGCCTGGAATTTGGAACCTTGAAGGGCTTCAGCCAGTCAATGCAGATAATACTGAGCAGGAATGTCTGAGAATTTCCTTCAAGAAGCCCGTATTTATTCTTGTGGAAAGAGCTTGAAAATGAACAACAACAACAAAAGCAGAAAATTACATGTGAGAGAAAGCAGAAGTTGCACTTGTTCATTCCAGTACTAATCCATAATTACCATTTCCAATGTGCCTCTGTGAGGTAGAAATATTTATGGAAGATGTGACAAGATATATAAATGATATATCTAATATAGAAATCATGGGCTTGAACAGTCAACCCATTGTATCTGCAAATCTCAAACCCTGTTCTTTTAAGTTTCAATGCTTGTGTGGTACAGCAAGATAAAGTGGACAGACCCTGGGGCTGTTTCAACCTCAGGCACAGCAGCTGGAAAGAACCATGCCAACAAGTTTGGTAATGAGGAATTGGCCACACTTCTGAGAAACAGCACACGGGAATGAAACAAAAGTGACAAACCAGGGACATCCATTGCAGCTTTCCCTGACCTGCTTTCTTCTGGATGTGTTGGGCTACAAATCCCACAAATGAAAGAGGCTGGAATATTGTACTATAGTGGGAACCAGAAAGGATGCAGAAAAGTTGCGATTCTTGGAATTTTCTGCTGATGACTCACAATGTTGTTTGACCTGAGTTAAACACTAAATCAGCATGGAAGGATGTTAATTCGTTTTTAATTTGATAGATTGAGCTCAAGGCTGTTTGTTTTTTTAAATAAATGTATATACTCTGTGTATGTGTGTGTGTACACACACACACACAGCACTCACTTCTCTTTTTCACCATAACAATAACCCTGATTGCCCCCAAGTCACCCAGTATACTTCTAAGTCTGAGAATTGATCTGAATTTACATCTCCTTAGTCTTAATTCTGCACCATAACCACTAGATCAGACTGGCTGTCACAATGAAAAGTTAATATCCAAAGGAAGCTAAAAGGGGAGGAGACCCCAGTCACCTATTCTGGGAGAAAGTAATACCATAAGCATGGAATTTTAAAAATCCATTTGGGTTTAAGTGAAATAAAATGCAAAGGCAAGCTAAGCATGGCTAGTCTTTAACTACAAGGAGAACTTGTCAAGAGATGATGGAATTTTTCTAAAAGGGGCCCAGGAGATGTTTTTTTGCATTTTCAGCATGGAATAAATTATGGTGCTATATTTTCTCAACTTTGGCAATTTTAAGATGTGTGGACTTCAACTCTCAGAATTCCCCAGCCAGCATGTGTGAACTTCAACTCCCTGAATTCCCCAGCCAGCATGCTGGCTGGGGAATTCTGGGAGTTGAAGTCCACAGATCTTAAAAGTTGCCAAGTTTGAGAAACACTGCTATAAGCAATCAGATGAACTACCAGACAAAAACAAAGCCTCCACTCTCTCCTCTGTAATACTGCTCCAAGCTCACCTCTGTAAGCTGCAATTGTAGTATAGTTAACACATGAATTTGTGTCTGGCATAGTTTAAAGGGGAAAGCTGAGACGACATCACATTAAGGCGCGGGTTTTATATTTTTACTTGCGCAAGCTGAGCTTGCAATTCACTTGCAAATTCTCCTGCCAGACCCATATCACTTAATGGGGAGTCGTGCAAAAGCATTCCTATAAAAAGAGTCTTCTCATTTCTATGATTTTCTAAGCCTTTGTGCAAGGCTTGAGTCACAAAGGAATCAAATTAATCGGTGGAAAACACACATACACACAGGTCTCTTTTGTCCACCCCTAACTTTCAAGCACATCTTGTCAGCCAGATGGGGAGTCACTCTGATGAGGATGGGTGCTGGGCAGGATTCCTAGACTCCTCATTTGCTTGTTTGCCATCATCCCAAACATCTGGGTCTGCTCATTGACTGCTGGCATTATGCAAACACTTAGAATTCTCCTGTGCTTAGCCATTCCAGCTGGCATGGTTGGAGGAGGAGCAACATGGGGCAGAATGAGAGTCTAGTGAGCCTACAGGGGACTATTTGTACTGGAAATTGCAGAATTAATGTCATCAAGCAACCTGTGTCTTGTTGTGTGAGCTTCATCACCAGGACCATGAGAGGAAAAACATTTCGGAAAGAAATCCTCTGTTAAAACCCCATGAGCTGAAACACAAGAAAGAGGAGGGGAAAAAGCCTGCAGCTCTTCCTACTATATTCTACAAAATGTCCCACTTGAAAGGAAAACCTTATTGATGATGTTATCAGTCAGTTTTATAGCTCTTTAATTCACTTCAGCTGGACTTGTTTATGGGTTCAGCAACTTACTTCAAAACTAAAACAAGTTGAAAAATAGTTTCTAGTTAATCAGAGTCTCTGGATCCCATCTATTTCATGGCTGACTATATAAGCCAGAGGGTGGCTGTTTTCTAAGGTAGCCCAAGGCAGCACCTAGTTCACAGGTCACTGCAAACACATTTTCCTCTTGAAAATGACTGGAGAGAATACAACTCTGGTGCTGACTGTTAATCACCCTGGCTGGTGTTGATGGGTATTTAAGCTTCTACACTTCTGTACTGGAAGATCCTGCCTGAGTCCTTCTAACACCTAGAAATCAGGCACATAAAAATCTCCATATAACCTGAACATTTTTTAGCATCCACATAGTGTGAGAAAATGACCAGCCTATGGGAGAGAACAGCACAGTCCTGAGCCATTGAATTTAGAAGTCCTTTCTCTTTTCTGCAGTTGTTCGCTGAAAGTGAAGTGGAGAAAAGCAAGCCTCTAGGTCAAAGGAGATGCAGCATTCAGATCCAAGAATAGTAACCCCACCCCCATAAAGAGAAAAGGTGAAGGTGAAAAATACAGTAATGAGCGCATGCTCGTATGTGAAAAAAGAATGGTTGTAGAAACTGTAAAGATGAAAATTAAGAGATTTTGCAGCAGGAAGGAACTGCAGCACAGATTGTGAGCTTGAAGTGTGAATGACACTGTAGAATTATTTAGCAGAAATTGAGTAGAAAACTTTCAAGAAACTACCACAAATCTCAATGCTGATTACAGGATGAAACAATATCCCTAATGCAGTTTTCTTCCACATACACAGAACTGTGTATGTGGAACAAGCAATACAATGATAACGTGTGATGTTACTGCTGTGTGTTATGAACGCTTTTGTGATCCTGCAGTGCCAAGTGATTGCTCTGCATAAAGTCTGTGCTCACCTGGTTTGTGATGCTGTTCTTCCTCCTCTGCTAGTGTCCACCTGGTCTCAGCCCCATGAAAGATGGCACTGGCTGCTATGATCGCCACATTGGTGTGGACTGTTCAGATGGGTTCAATGGTGGTTGTGAGCAACTCTGTCTACAACATATGGTGCCTTTGCCAGAAGACCCTTCTTTGTATAATATTCTTATGTTTTGTGGGTGAGTTTCATAAAAGCTTCTAGTATCCTCTACAGTGAGACCTCCTTACTCCAAACTATATATATATTGATTATATTGAAGGTAGCACCTGTCTGTAATCCTTATTATTTCTCAAGATCACACAGCTGTCTCTGCAGCTCCTGTATGATCCCCCCAAAAGACACAGCTGCTTTAAAGAGTTGCAAACAGGTGCTCTAATCATACCTTCACATGTTCTGAAATATCTTTTTGGAATTAAAACCAAAGCATTGCATAACACTAATATTTAACATCTTTTGTTGAATCCTTTCATAATATATTTTGTAGCAATGAAAGAAACTCTTGTTTACCATGACATTTTCAGTAACAGGGTTCCTGAAAGAGTAGGCAACCTGTGGTCCTCCGATTGTTGCTGAGTTACAGTTCACATTCTAGATTTAGGGATTTCTTGAGCAGAAATCTCTGCAATTACGGATTAACAGATTTCACCCATCCCGCTCAACTGTTGTTCATTGGCTTTGTATTTCACTTATTTTGTTCTGCCTGTTTTTCAATTTAACTGGATTTCTTCATCTGAATTCCACATACACATGTCAATTTGGTCCTTTTTATCCCCATGCAAATTAGTAGTACATTTTAAGAAATGTTCCAGCATCAGGCATTACTTGGCACAAAAGTCATGAATAGGAAAGTTTTTCTATAGGTCAGAAATATGAAAACCACTGAATTAGGCCTATAATGTAAAATCTCACCTGATTTTACACATTTGTAAGAGAGGTACTGTGCTTTTCACTTGTGTGGCCATATTATGAATTCCTCCTTGAACACAAAAGATTTTCCCTTTATAAATTTTGTAGCGAGTTTTAATAGTTTTTCTTGTATTCAATGGCAGATGCATTGAAGATTACAAGCTAGGTATGGATGGACGATCTTGTCAGTTAATTTCGGAGTCCTGTCCGGAGGGTGCTGACTGTGAAGAGAGCCGAGAGCTGCCCATGAATCAAACTCTCTTTGGGGAAATGTTCTATGGTTACAACAATCAAACGCGTGAGTTGGCACCTGGGCAGGTGCTGAAGGGGACATTCAGGTGATGATGGTATTAGAAAAAACCTTCCTGTTCTGTTGGGTTCCAAGTCCTGTTTTTTTTATTATCTGTACAGTGTTATCCATGGTGCTTTTACATCAAAAGCAAAACAAAACTCTATCCAAAGCAACGTGCAAATTAAAATTTCTCAGGTTTCCTCACTTACCAGTAGTAAGACCTGGGATTTGATCCCAAGTGAATTTTCCTTCAGAGATAGATGACTTCTGTTAAAGGACCTTTCTCTAATACTACTCACCCAACTCCCAAAAATGATATTAGATCCTCTGCGATTATGTCATCCACCAAGAGAACATTTTATCCATGAAAAGAGTGCATGTTTTAAAAGATTATATCTTGTAAAGGTGTGTAAGTAAAGGAGTTTTAGTGGGATTAGAAGAAATACTCCTTGAAGCCTCTTTTATATTTATCCATGCAATTCTATTAGCTTTTGATTTTCTGTTGAAAAAACACTGGTTATCTTTTTAATCACAAATTTATCATAATTTCTAGGTGGGCTTCTGGAGAAACAGAGTACTGATTTAGTGATAGTTCTTAGAAGGGATTTGCACATCCTCATTTACCTATTAAGTCCAAAATTAAGACATTTGGAGGGCCTTTTTTTCTCTGTGTGGGAAAAATCCTGGTGGAGCAAAAGTTTCAATAAGCCTAGCATTATTTCTTTGAAGAAAAGCTCTACACATGCTGGTTCCCCAGTTTACACAGTTCTTCAGTCCTTCAATTTGTAAGAGCTGGAGGATAAGAATGGAGCCCAAGGAAGGGCCCCGTTGGCAGCATTAGAGCTAGTGGTCATGAAGAATCCTTTGATGTTGATGGCACTGTTTGTAGTCCTAAAATTTAAGACTATTTTTAACATGAACACTTTTGTCTCTTTCAGAAAAAGGAAAAAATAAAGAGAATATTGAAATAAAATGTTTTCATAATACTCTTTATTTTTACTTACATTTGATAGGTTGATTATAGATTTTAATGAGATCTGTGAGCCTGTATATGATGACATGTTTCAAGGACTAGAATGAAATTTGGTAAAGTGTTAGAGTTAGTGAAATACTCAGGCTATGTAATTTGATCTGGTTTCAAATTGTGCTGAAAACCCTATTTTTCACAAATATATTTTGAAGGAAAAATGGTGGGACCTTCAAAGCCTTTGAAGGTGTTTATAGTATATGTACAAGTTGTTTGTGGAATGCTCCTCTTCTGCTGAACATAGTTTAAGAAACATCTATAGATAGACTTGCCAGGATTTTTTGAATTGACCTTTGCTTTGAACTTCTCATTTGGCACTTTTCAGGATGAATAACTTTGCTCGTGGTTTGGAGCAACAGCTGCCAGATGGGCTAATGTTGGCCACCGTTCCACTAGAGAATCAGTGCCATGAGGAGCTGTCTGAGCCTACTCCTGATCCAGATTTTCTAACTGGTGAGTGATCCCTTTCAGAGGACACTTCCACTAGTCTTGGGTCGGTTCTCAAACTGATATCATGCTGTCATCTGTTTGGAGAGCTGAGAAACACATTTCTGATTTAGTTCCAGTTTATCTGAAGCTACTAGTTTACGGTACTATAGCTAGTATTTTCCCTTGAATTCATAGGTGTCTTTGGGTGGGAGGCAAGGGGGTAATCAAAATGTGCATTGTGAGGCAAATAATTTTACTTACATACCTGCAAGGATGAAAGGATTTGTGTTGAAGACAATAATGGGTTGGCGCTTTGTGAAAGAGAGGGTGTGGGGTTGAAGTGCTTCTGATGTGGAAATTCCTAGATCCCACTCTCTGAATCCTGTCTTTTGTTCAGTCTCAATGTTCTGCAATGTAGACATCACATGACTAACTGACAAAGATACACAATATTTTATTGTCAGCCAGTTTTATGATGGTAGAGTTTAAAAAATGTCAGACAAATTTTGTGAAAGATAAGGACAAGAGATATATTATTTTGATGCTAGTGTTACTCCTTTTAGAACTGGCTTGAGGTACTCCACATTGCCATAGAACCATAGACCATAGTGCTGCCAGCTAGTGCAGTTGTGGGACAGACAGCAAAAAAGATGAACACTGTGAAAGATGCCAGGATGCTTACAATTAATAAATATTTATTCAAATGGTCTCGATACTCAGTGTCTGAGATATACCCCCTCATCCCCAGAGTTGCTTGGTTTAGGCCAGTGTTTCTCAATCTTGGAAACTTTACGATGTGGACTTCAACTATGCTGGCTGGGGAATTCTGGGAGTTGAAGTCTACGCATCTGAAAATTTCCAAGGTTGAGAAACAGTGATTTAGGCATAAGAAAGGGAAGGTTGTACAGTATATTAGTGAGGATTAAGTGTCTAGCAGGTATTGAGTGCCTGCTAAGACAAAAAAAGGGAAATAATTATTTAATTGGGATTAGAATAGGAAGTTTGTTATTTCAGCTTGCAACTATAAATAGGCAGGGCTAGCTTGTCTAAGCAGTCTCTCTTCCAAATGTCCATTAAAAAATATGGGTCAACCACAGAACACATAGAGTTGGAAGGTATCTTGGAGGTCTTCTTGTCCAATTCTTTGCCCAGAGTAGGAATCCTCAGACCAATGGTTGTCCAAATCTTTGCTTGAAAACTTCCAGTGAGGTAGTCCTTCAAGTATTGGAAGACTCCTATTTTGCCTCCCCTTGGCCTTCTCTTCTTTAGGCTAAACATACCCAGTTCTTTAACTGTTTTTCATAGGATTTTGCCTCCAAGTACTTTATCATCTTGGTTGCTCTTCTCTGCACTCTTCCAGTTCCTCAGCATCCTTCTTGTATTGAGGTGGCCAAAATTGGACACAGTATTCCAAGTGTGGTATGACCACCATTGCATATAGTGGAACTATTATTTGCCATGATCTCAACATTGTACTTCTTTTCATGCAGCCTAAGACTGCATTAGCACTTTTGGCAGCTGTAGCACATTGCTGACTCATGCTTAATTTATGATCTACCAAGATATCTTAGATGTATTACTTTTGAGCTAAGTACCACCTATCTTGTACTGCCCAAAACACAGAACCTGATACTTTTTGTCATTCAACAGCATTTTGTAGGGAAGTGCCTAATGTTCAAGATCCTTTTGAACATTGAGCCTGTCTTCTGAGATGTTAGCAATCCTCCCAGCATTGTGTTGTCCGCAGATTTGATGAACATTCCTTCTATTTCATCATCTAAATCAACTCTAAAAATATTGAAGAGCACCGGGTCCAGGACAGAACCCTGAGGTACTCACACTGCATACCACCCTCCATGTAGATCCACTAAGAACCACCAGTCACCAGTCACTTCCTTTGTCACTCCTGCACTTTTTCATAAGCTTGAGATTTCTAAGTATCTGTGCCCACAACCCTTGATATCAGGTAAGATTGTAATTTTTCCATGGTAGCACATATAAAAATGCTCATTAAAAATGTAATTAGTAGAGCAATTAACACCACAGGGCAATGTTTTAGGATTGACCTCACTGCAAAAACTGCAGTGAGGCACTAAGGGCAGGAGGGACTTAGTATATTAAGATGGTGAGATTCTGATGGAGAGAAAATGAGCAAAATTTTGTCAAGTTATTTTTAATTACTGAAAAATTACCCATAGACATTTCTTTGGTATAATTAGCATTTCCCTTCTTCTCCATTCCATCCTCCAAAAAACTATTTTTTGATGCCTTCTTTCATATCTTTGCCTCCCGTTATACCTGTCTTTGGATTTCTTGCTATCTAAGGGAGCATGCAATTAATATTAAATGGCCAGTTTGCAATTTGAACTATTGTGCCTGGGAAACTGGATGAAGGCAGTCATTCATTATGCAGCATACGGTTGCTTTTCTTGGCTCAGATACAAGATGTGTAAAAGTCTAAGAAGTAAGTATAATCTTCAGGGATCAGCAGAAAATTAACCAAAAACAATTGCACTGGGGATGATTTATATGTCATTGGAATGTGGTCAAAGTTATATATGGTTTGTATAAGTAGAACCACTATTCCTTTTTATTCAGAAGGAACACAAGAATTTTGATACAAGAATGTTGACTTCAAATCAAATGTGTTTTGTCCAGAAAAAAAAAATCGAAACTAGATTCTAAGTTAGAATTCATCTTAGAACTTGACTTGCCTCAGACATATTTGATTGTAAACTGCTTTGAAATATTTTAATGGGTGTTTTTTTATAAGTAAACACATATAGTAGTAGTGGTATCTTTATTACAGTCCAAGATCAATGTAACATAAGTTCAAACAACCCAAGTATAATTCAGAAGTATAATAACAGTGCAACAGTTTAATACATGGTGTGTTTCAATTAACCAATCTGTGGAAATGCCATGAAACAGAAGGCACATTTTAACAAATGTGGTGGACATGTAAAAAAAAACCTCAAAAGTATTGGAAAGATAGATGTAGTACCATTCAGAGAATTTTAGAAATTACATTTGGAATGAAATCACATTTTTACTAGGTATAATTCCAGAATAGAGGAATGTCATAATTTATTGAGATACATGTTCACAGATGCGAGAATAAACTTTGTCCAACATTGGAAGACAAATACAACACTGATAATATCTGACTGGAAATTTAAAACTGGAGAACACACCGCAGTGACAAAACTAACAGCATACATCCACAACAGAAATTTAACCAAATTCAAGCAAGCATGGTTTCCATATACAAACACTTACAGTATGGTTCTGAGGAAGTCTAAATGTTTATAAATAAATCAGTCAAAGCTCCTTTTTTTCCTTTTTTTCTTCTTTTTTTGATGTTTAACATTTATTAACAATAATAAATCAAAAATAATGGAGACCTTAGTATTAAGCATTAAGATCAAAGATGCTGGAGGGAGATGATCACTTTAGTGACACTAACAAAAGCATCAATTTATACTGCGTGGGAGAAGACAATGGTAAACCACTCCTGTATTTTTACCAAGAAAAACACATGGATAGAAAATCTATGCCATGCTTAGCTGTAATTATACAATTCAAGCAACCTTACGTTTATTAACATTTTAGAAATTATATTTAACATTGATATAAACTTTTTTCTCCTTTTATTTAAAGGTTTAACTTACCTAAACCATCATAGTGTTAACAGATTCTAGTTTATATTGCATAAATACCCCTGTACCCTGCTAATATCTGTATTTTATAATGTATTGTTTACATCTCATAATGCAATCAAATGATTACTTGGGAAAAAACAGAAAACAAATCTGGGTATGAATAGCTTTATGGCCAAGGCACAAAACTTAGCAATTAAAAGGTGATGTCAGGACACCTGTCATTTAAGAAAACTTCTTGATAATGCTGATCAGGGTGCCAGGCAGTCTTTCCATTAGAGAGCAGATTAATTGAAAATTCTGACCAGGTAAATTCCACCTGGAATTTACACCTTAGAAAAACATGTTCTAGGGTTTCAGGCCCCTGAGAGGCACAAAGGCATTGCCGAAGCCCTACAGGGATTCCTTTACATCTGGCATTCATAATTGCAGAAGCAAGGGCATTAAAATGTGCTCTGGAAAAAGCCCATCGGTGGTAGGTATAGGATAACTTAAATAAATAGCATTCAGGTTGTGATTCCCTTGACTCACTGAGGAGATGATATAACCTGGGGGCTGCTGCTTATGCTGAAGTTCAGCATCTTCTAATCCTTGCTTTATAAGCTCCATGGCTTTCTTGTAACCCATCTTTATAAGAAAATCAGGGGACGTGCCAAGGTGAAAGAGTTCATTAGTTATTGCTATACACCATCTAGATTTAAAGTTAGCTCGTACTAAGAGGGGCAGAAGCCCTGTGGGAGATAGACAGATTCTGAGCCAGTAAGATATGATTAATTGCCAAGCTCTTGTTTTGATATCAGCCAGCCCAATCTCTAGTCTGAGTACAGCACTGGAGATACTTCTCGGTGTAGAGAATATGACTCTCAGAAGGTATGATTGTATTTTTTCTTACGGTTAAGAGTTTTATACCAACATGCAATTGCACACCATACAGAAGCAGTGCTAATCTAATAGCTGTAGGTAAAATGCCCAGAAGTGTTGAGGAGTTGAGAAGCCTCTGGATCAAATAAATAAATAAACAGGCACATATATGGGTAGGACCTCACGTCTGCAGAAGGTAATATGCCTCAGCTTTGAATTTCAACAGAAATGACAGTATGAGCGTTTCATAGAGTCAAAGTTGAGGATTCTAGCTGCAGAGTAAAAATGCTTTCGTTTTTCCTTACTTTAAAATGGTTTGAGAATGGTGTGAAGTTTTCATTCTTGTTCGTCGTCCATCCTTGTTCGTCGCAGCCATGTACCTTTGTGCAATAAATAAATAAACAAATGTTTTTTAAATGCTTTGTAATGAGGATAAAAATCTTACACGTGGTACTCATTAAGGGGATTTTAATTCTGAGTGGCCTACGGACTAGGTGTAACTAGGGACTATTAATGTGGAGTTAATAGCTCCCTTGGCTGGGGGAGCTTATATTTTCCAATCACAGCCACTGTCTTCTCCAGTGAGAGGAAAGGGAGTTGGATTAGGGAAGGGGAAATAGAGTGTTTCTTTGTTTTCTGACTGAGTCTTGCTTGGAGGCCTTGCAGTGAGTAGGCACCTTAAGAAAATATACTTTATGGGATTAGGCTGAGGAATTTGGGCTGACATCAAAACTCCTGAGAGAACTGGAACTACTGAAATAAAGTTAGCTGGGAAGGTATAGCTTAGTTGTGTGATAGATTTTTTTATTTCTATTTGGTGCTGCTTGCTCGGTTTTGGATAATGTTATATCTGTTCCAATTTTCTGTCTCTTTCATCTGTTAGTTCAGGTTGTTTATAAATTATAAATTATATTTATAAATTATAAATGTATAAATTATTATTGCTCGGTTTTGGATAATGTTATATCTGTTCCAATTTTCTGTCTCTTTCATCTGTTAGTTCAGGTTGTTTATAAATTATAAATTATATTTATAAATTATAAATGTATAAATTATTATTGCTCGGTTTTGGATAATGTTATATCTGTTCCAATTTTCTGTCTCTTTCATCTGTTAGTTCAGGTTGTTTATAAATTATAAATTATATTTATAAATTATAAATGTATAAATTATTATTATTATTATTTATAGATTAACAAGCACTAGATTTGGTCTGTGGATTTCAGCAATTTCAGCATCATGTAACCACTGAAATCATTTATTAAAGCCTTTATCAAAATAAACATCCTCTTTTTCTTGATTATGCCAGTCCTGGATTCGTAATCTGGCCTAATGCCCCCAAGTCCACTTAGGCCTGGTAATTGTCATTAAAAGGACAGTTGGGGCTTATTCTTCAGGAAGAGAGGATTTCCTGTTCTGTCCCATCCAGAGAAGGGGCATTTCCCATTTCAAGAAGACTCCTCCACCTGGGATATATTCATATCCAGATATCTCAGCACTCAAGTAGATTGGGCGGGAGTACTGAGATCCCAGGGAGAGGTCTGGCAGGGTGTGGATGACAGACGCACCTACACCGCCTCTTCTTTGCCACCCCCATAGGAAAAATAAAGCACAACAGGGTGATTTCTCCTTAACCTGCTTTAGGTTTTTTCAGGGTGAAGTCAGGGTGTTTTTTCAGTGCAAGGTGATTTTAACAAACAGATTTTCACTTGCAGCCTAAAATAGCTCAGCTTGGGAAAAATATTCGCCTCCTGATTCTGCTGAGCAGGGAAACCAATTCACATTCTGTGTCAGATCTGGAAAAGAGCTGTGTTGCAAATGCTTTCTGCTAATCTTCTTTGCCTTTCCTATTTCTCCTATGGTTTCTTCCACAGGGATGGTGAATTTCAGTGAGATTTCTGGATATCCTTTGCTACAACACTGGAAAGTTCGCTCTGTCATGTACCATGTTCGGTTGAACCAAATGGCTACCTCTCAGTGTAAGTTACGTCCAGCCCCTGGTGGGGTGGCCTTAGAATGGCCACATTACCACAGCAGGGGTGGGGATGGGGGGTGCCAACAGTAAAGGGGTTGGAGCTGGTGCCAGGCAGCCATTCTAACTTTCTGTTCGTCCTGGACATCACTGTTTTCTTTAGGGCTTTTGGTTCACATCCTGAGCCTTGATAACCCTTCAGTTATCAACAGTTTCATACATAAGAGTTAGAGAGGAACAGATCTGTCTGGTTGTAATTTAGGCCTCACCTCCACCCAAAAACCCCAAAAGATCAGTTGAGATTCAACTCCAGTGCTGGCTGGCAATTTAGGGATTTGTAGTTGCAGGTCTAGAGAATACTAATTTCACATATATTCATTTACGGTTCCATTCTAAGCTATTTTCACATTAAAATGTATATTACGTTTTTATATTTTATACTAAAATCATGACATTTTATCCTAAGGTATGCATTTGCAACTAAAGTAGCTTTTTTGTACACAGCTCGTATTTTTTTAATTGGAAATCATGCTGCACAATTCAGAGAATTATAAAAACAGAAAAATTCAGTACATGTGGAGAGTGCAAATTAGTTTGCTGAAAATGCAGACTAAATACAATTTTAAGCTTCCTTATTCAGAATTCTGTCACATTTGCTTATGTGAATATTTGGTGCTTATTGGCTGTCCTGTACATTTTAAATCATGTAGCTGAAATAAAACAAATAGGACGTCTTCATCTTCTCTAGGAACAACTTGGAAAAGACCACAAACTGGGTACCAAAAATTCACGTCATGTATTTTCTGTTGAGTACGTAATCGCTTATCCTTTAAGAATATTTAAGCTTCTTTTCAAAATGATTGAAGAAAAACATGAGGAAACAGACCAGCAGGTCAAGTAGGGTGGCACTGTTACAGATTTTGCTGTGGCTTCACACAGGTTATTCAGTCTCAATAGCTGGATTTTAAATAAAAATATCTGAACAGAGACAGTTTACCTGAATATTGAAAGGGGTTTTTTTAATAGAGAAAAATCTATATCTGTTCTATTCATGATGAAGTATTGTTGTTTTCTTAGCATCTCTGTATACAATGTTTCTTAAGGGTATGCCATAACTCAATCAAAGCTAGCAATTCAGTTTCTGATGATATTGCAACAATTTTGGGGTTAGCAATTCTTATTGCTTCCCCATCCCCCTACAAACTACAAAAACAGTTGTGAACAATTAAGAGCCTGCTGCTGAAATTAAAACATTTTTATCAGGCTGAAAAAGGCAATTTACTTCTTTACACACTGAAATCACTCTTGGAATGTGTGGAGAAAGTTACAAACCTTGTTTAAAATGCAGTTTTATTAAGCACACTTAAACGGATTTTTACATACAGAGTGTATATTTGAGAATCAGGTATTGGAGTGAGCAAGGATTGTTGACCTGCTTGTGAGCTTCTGGAAGGTGGTAGCAAAATGTTAGCTGGATCTTGGCTTGATCCAGCAAGACAGCAAGACCTTATATTATCAAGGAATATATATGTCCTGCCTTTTTCTCTCTCTCTCTTAAATTCCTGCTTGCTGTACTTCTGTTCTCTGCAGCTTTTGGCAATGCCCTTCATTCTCTGGATGGAGCAACATCTCGAGGAGATTTTGTGGCTCTGCTGGATCATTTTGGCAACCATTATATACAGGAAGCTGTCTATGGATTTGAAGAATCCTGCTCTATTTGGTATCCCAACAAGCAAGTACAAAAGCAGCTCTGGCTGGAATATGAAGATATTAGCAAAGGTAAGCTTCACTTCTGTTATTTTCTTTAAATTGAGACGCAGTATGGTAGAGAAAGGCAAATATCAGTAGTGTGGAGAGGTGATAGTAAAGATTCTTTTGTGGCCAGGAATATTCTGCACTTGGAACTAAAAGGTTGCTTAATCTGCATCATAAACCTTGATTGCAGTGTTTGCGTTTTAACAGCTCTCAGGGGTTGTAAAGGGTATGAAAGGAAGGAGAACATTTGAAGGGCAGAAAGTATTGTGCAAAGAAGAAAATTGTGCAGGATTGGAAATCTTACTGAAACCTCTTATTGCGGATGTCAGAGCAGATATGGCTTGCACTACTGAGACCAGGATGGTGGCAAGGGGCTGTTCCACTCTCAAAGGTGTCCCCATCTGTTTTTCAGGTGTTGTTATCAGTGCAACCCCATGGTAGGGAGGTGGAGTTGTGATTGCCATCTGGGATACTGTGCAGTTGATCAAGGGCATTGTTCTGTAGATAACTTGTGAGTTATTGTTTGGGCAAGTTTGGGCTCCAGGGTCAAGCTAGGGTGTTGCTTTTACTGGCCTCCATGCTGCACACCTTCATCCCTACCTGAGCTCCTTGACCTTGATGCTGATTGGTACTGGAATCAGCTATAATTTTCATTTTGAAAGATTTCAGTTTGCTTTACTGGGGGGGGGGGGGAGATGGCACCTTGTGAGTTCATGGTCACCATGACAACCATGGGTTTGTTTATAGTAGCCACATACATTTTCATCAGTCCCTTGTCACTGTCAGATCATTATCTGGTTATTATGGAGTAATAAGACTGAGACATCATTCATTGTGCTTGTGTATGACCTCTGGTGGGCTCAGGGTAGGGGTGGCACATCCTAGCTCAGGGGTTGTAAAGGGCATGAAAGGAAGGAGAACATTTGAAGGACAGAAAGTATTGTGCAAAGAAAATTGGCAGCCCTTGACACCATCAGTTATGGTATTTTTCTAGAGTAACAGGCTAAGGAGTTTGGGCATGAGGGTCCCAGTCAGTGCTGCTGGGAAAGGAGAGGTCTAGCCCAAGGCCTCTGCTTTGTGAGGTGCCACAGGGCTCAACTCTCTCCTCACTCCAATTTGATATCTACATAAAGCTGCTCGGAGCATCACCAATTGGCATGGTGATGATACTCAGTTACACCTCTCTGCCCTGAGCTGACAAAGAGATAGGTATCTCTTTTCTAGGATCTGGATGCTATGAGGATCTGGATGGGGAAAAATAGGCTTCAACTCAACCCTAGCAACACTGAGTGGCTGTCCTGGATCTAGAGAACTTCCATCATTATCTCTGGATGGGGTAACGCTCCCCCTGAGTCTTCGTCCTGGACTCTCAGATCCTGCATGACAAATAGGTGGCAGTTGTGGCCTGGAGGTTTTGCACAAATTCATCTTGTGGGCCAGTTACACCTGTGCATAGACTGGGAGACACTGCTCATGGTCACTCATGCCTGAATTACTTCCCAGCTGGCCTAATTACCTCTGGGATAGCCTACCCCTATATATTCAGCCTACCCTCTCCCTATTCTATTTTCGAAGAGTTGTGAAAACAGGATTCTTCGTCTGGGGGCACTTGAAGATTCTGCTGCCCAGATGGTGATACATCAGGGGTCTCTTGTTATGTCTATGTTAATGACTTTTTATGTTTTAATGTTGTGTTCTCATTTGTAAGCCACTTCAAGTCTTTGGAAATGGAGTGGCATGTAAGCTGAAGTAATAAATAAATATACTTACTAACCAACCCATGGATTTCTCAACATTCAAGAGAATCTACATTTTTAAAAAATAACTTTGCGCTCTAGAAACGTGAACTAGTTTTTGCCAGGGATGAAATTTCCCATGCACAGGACAAAATCTGGATGGAGTTTTGGTGGCATCAAGGGAAGCATCAGAATGTGTTGTTGATTCTGTGAAAGGGACTGCATGGGTTTAGTGAGGAAGGGACTGCTGCATTCTCTGAAGGCTGTTGTTATTGATTAGTATATTTAGAAGCACTCTGTCTCAACATTCACCTGTAAATTGATTATCATGTCCCTGATACTCTTTTACAAGGTACTGAGGCTGCTTTTTTTAGCTAAGAAGAAAGATGGACAATTTATTCCCAATCAAGGAGCAAACTTTCTGTAATTGTTCAGCCTGAGGTTTTTCAGTTATTTTTGTTGCAACATAGCAAATTAATTCTAAATTCACTAACTTGGGAATAGGTCCTGCTAAATAAATTCTAGCAAGGCTTACTATTGAATAGGGATCTATAGGATTGCAGTGTTGTTGAAATACCTAAGTATTGTTCTTAAAAGTAGAAAAGCTTGAAACTGTGCAGTGATGCTTAGAGATCAAGGGCAGGCTGCAGTACTATGAAGATTTTCTCATATCCTGTTGTTTTCATACTGTTCTCCATGTCCCTCTATTGAGCATCAATTCAACCATCATAAAAAGTACTGAGTGTGACTCTCTGTGAGAATGTGGTTTACAGTGCTATACACACACACACACACACACGTTATACACATAGGCATGCAGACTTTTCAGTGATATAATACAGGTAAGTGATAACATGACTGCAATATCAAAGTGACCAACTGTTGTAACATTGTGGTTCAAGAGGCTGACTTACAGATCAGAAAATTCATGGCTCAGATCTCACCTTGTTCATTAATTTACCAGCTGTCCTTAGACTAAGCTATTTCTCAGCTCCCCCCACCTCCCACCCCCAAATGTGTTAATGAATTATAATGAGCTGTAGGTTAACATGGGGCAGAAGGATATATGAAAGAAGAGATGTGTGTTCAGATGCACATTTTAATATTATGTGTCTGCATCAAGCTATGGTCACTTTTTTCACATGAACTTCTTACTATGAGATTAGAGAAAATGACAGTACAGGCTTTCTCTAAAAAAGAAAGAAAGAAAGATAGTATTTTGGGATGACTGATAGGAGTGAGGGGGTTATATAGGGACTCTAAACCCTTTAGATAAGTTAACCAAGGACATGTTGGTCTGGAATTGAATCAGTCCCAAGGACAATTAGGTACCCATGGGGAGTCATATAACAGAGCATTATCCTTATGGAAATGGTCTGTGATAGGTTACTATAAAGAGCAAGAGATTTATGCGAGTAAAACACAGAAGCTAATAGGCAAAATTAACTAGGCCATTCTCATGCATAAGCACTTCTAAAGCTTCTGTTCATATCTGTGGGACTTGTAGAGGAGAATGGTCCAGGGGGTGTGCCCATTATATAAAACAGCAACAAATATTAGTTATGGTAGTTCCTCACTTTAGTTAAAATCTTATTAAACCTATGAACATATTTTGATTTATTCTTGGAAAAAATCATTCTGTTTTGAAGACTTGATAAATTGACTGCTGGTTTATCTGAAGAGGAAAAAGAGTGATTTTACAATACACTGGGGATTTGATGAATGATCCTTTTTTATGTCCCTTATTTCTGTAGTTTTGGATGTCATAGCACAAATCAATGGATGGTTTTACTGGGTATAACTAACAAAGTGGTAGCATTGCCAAGAAGGATTTAATGGTTATATATGCTAACAGACTTGTACATGAGTCAACAGGACAATATAATGGCAAGATGCCATTTTAAATTTATTTGAGGAGGGATCATTTATCTAAAGACTCAAGAAGTATATTGCTGGTAGGCTCAGCTCAACACTGCTATATCTTTATTTGATCTGCTATAGTAGAACTGGATTGCCCTCAATTCTCATATCTTTATTCTGGCCTCAGGTAACATCATCTCCCACACCTGGTAGAAGGTCTTTCTCTACCAGAAAGTGGTGTCCACCAGAAAACCATAATGATGTGAAATTGGTTGTCTCCGATTGCCAATCCTTGTCACATCTCTGTTGTTTCTGTTTCAAATCACTACAGTCAGCTGACATTTCTCCAAGTTAATATTAAAAACTAATATTAAGAATAAAAAATAGGAAAAAAG